GGACAGAAATGTGTGGAATGTGTTTCTCTCATTGACATACAGTGAAGAAGCCAGGGTTGTAATCTTTTAACCCTTTGCTAGGACATGCAGTGTTCAAATCTACTTAACAAAATAAAAATGAAATCAGCCAGCACAGCAGAGACAAACTTCTTACATCCACTCCCAATATTACAAAAAAGGAGACTTCAACTAGAAATTTCAACAAGTAAAAAGCTATTTAAACTGCAAACTTTTGCTATGTAAATGGGAACATGTAGCAAATATAAAATATGTGTTATCCTAATGTGGCGGCAAAAGTGAAAATACACTTTAAAGTGTCTGTAAACCATAACAAAAAACTCTTATTTGCTGCCTTTGGTCTTTTAAATATAACCCTGGAAGTATTTTGTTAAATCTGTTCAGTAAGTTCAAGAAAATATTTGTTGATCATGTCAGCAATTCAGAGCTGTTCTGTACACATTCCCTGTGTTTTCTCAAGGAGTCAAATAAACCTTTCTAGTTCTTCTCTTTGACTACAGATTAGTTAGTGCCTGTGTTGTAAAGAGTAGGATAGGGTATGAGTACTTTAGCTAAAGACAGCTGGGCAGGGCTGATACTACTCCAGGAAAATGCTGTGTGTTGTCAAGTATTGTGTAAATTTTGTTCCATTTGTCTTAAAATGCAATTTTTGTAAATGCTTACTTAGCACGAAGGCCGTATGCAGAGTTGTGGTCAATCACTCATACTCTGAGTGGTATAAGAATGTAAGCAGTATACGCAAAGGTTCAGTTTTGGTAACTTAACCCTGATGCTAAATTAAACTTTTTATTTAAATGGCTCTGTGAAAAGAAAAGAGTTAATACTTGACTGTCCCTCCCCCCTCCCCCAATCTTTGCATTCTTGAAGAGCTATGGTGGTTGAAGAATCTTTATCATCCAACATCTGGAAGTGTTGGATGCTTGATCCCCAGATATGGGACCATTCGTTCAATGCCTGATAATGGCTCCATCTGCCGATCCATATGTGAAAACTTCATCACCTGTCAGTGTCTAGAATGACTGATAAGTCTAAAGGTGGCCATACACTGTACAACCATCGCAAGACCTTAGTCTTGCGATGGTTGTAATATAACAATACCAATAGCAGAATAAGTGGTTGATTCTGTTCACCAGAATGTTTTAGGTACAACCATGGCATTATAACACTTAAGCACAAAATCTTAATTGACCAGTTATTAAAGTAAAATTAAGCACAACATAGCTTTAATCACACCGAAGTCTTAGTGGAAAGACAAATCAGTGGAAACCGTTATGTTGAAACATTCGGTATCCAGTCAGGGTTCTTGCAAGGTTTCTAAAAAATATATGATCATGTAAGATAGTGAAAAATATGTAACATGTACAGCACATTCTCTATGATTATGAAACGTGTTAGAGTTTTGCACATGGTGAATGCTGCTATGGTGTATATTGTTTGATTGATTTCAATAAGCACTGTTTTATGGCAGACGGCCCGTGGAGTGTGGCTGCTTTGAAAAAAGAAGTTATTGGAGGTGAGAAAATACCCTATAGCCTGCACCTAGGACGTGCATGTCATGTTAGTCCGGTCTTGGGATTTGGAGCGGTGGGGATCTCTTGGAGCTTCGTTATGTACAGCACATTGTTGGAAATGGTTAGATGGTCAATTTTTAATTTGGTTGGAGTCAGAATACCCATATACCAAATTTATTGTACCCATGTAAAAAGTTGTGCTATGTTTTTGGATGGTGGAGGATGGATAGAGTCTTTAGGAATCCCCTGTTTTGATAACATCTGTGTTTTTACAAATATTTTTAATTGCAGGTTATCAAAAAATAAACAACTTTTCGAAACAATAATAAAAAAAAAGTATTCGATCGTCTTAATGTCACATGGGTGGAACATACCGTAGTTCTACATGAGAAACAAACCCAGTTTCTCGGCCTATCATGCACCAGTTCCACATGCAGGTTCTTAGTACAGTCTATAATCTGATGAAGATTGCTTTATTAAAGGTCTTAGATTATAAACACATCGTATGAAAATATTATGGTGTTCCCTTGTCTAATATATAACACTCATTATATTAGTATGTTAAAGGAGTCATCAGTTGCACAATTCATCCCAACTGGGACCTTTGGGAATTAATATTAGTGTGTGTTCAAATGGTCTGTCAGGACCAGCTGTGGACGCACACCTTCGGAGCAAATAGTGATAAGTTGTTTCTCCTATAGCAATCGCAGTTCTCATAAGGCAAGCATGTCTACTGGTACTTGGATGCCCCCAGGACTTAAACTATATGCTTTGATCAGGTGATGCCACAGGGTGGCCCCAGGTGCTGAGCTGAGGTATAGACAGAAGGAGAAAGACATTACCAGAGAGTAACCAGGGATAAGCTGAGGCAGGCAAGGGTAATCTGGGCACAGGCTAAGGTCAGGGCGGGTTGTTGTGAAAGGGTAATTCTGGTTAGGGCTGTGAGAAGACGAAGCGTTATTCAGGGACAGGCTAAGGTCAGAACCAAAGACAAACAAGATTTCCAGACACAAGATTTGAAGAGACTGAGCATGGCTTGTATAGCAAGAACTATCACAAGCACTGAGGAACAGGCTGATGATGCTTAAATAGGGCACCACCAGCAACATGGCCAATCCCAGAGGTGGAGGTGTGTGGTTAGATTAATTAAACCACAGCTGACTAGACTAGTGCTGCAGCTAGCAAGACACAGGATAGTTAGCCCTTGCCAGTCAGGGCTGCAGCCAGCATTACCGGCTGCCTGACATTCTGCTTCAGCTTTTATACATGGATGGATGGAAAGTTAAATTGTCTGACAATGTCATGTTGCTTGGGGACTATACTGATGAGATCACTGATTATTTAATCCTCACAGTTTAATATTTTGAAGAATCACATTTTGCAACAATAGTGTCTTATGTTCCTGTTTATGTTTGTAGTATGAATGTGTGTACCAGCTTTGAACACTGCTCAGGAGTCATTTTAGCCCATACACCTAGGGAGATGTGTTCTGGGTTGTTGTGATTACGTGAATGATGCATATCCCCAACTAAACTTTGTAGCCTCTTTAACTGCTTGAAGAACAGGTGTTTACACCCCCTTCCTGGCCAGGCCATTTTTCAGTATTCAGCGCTGTTGTACTTTGACATTTATTCCGTCATGCAACGCTGTACTGAAAATTAATTTTATACAATTTTTTGGGGACAGATAGAGCTTTATTTTGGTGGTATTTATTCACCACTGGGGATTTTATTTTTTACTATATTTAGGAAAAATTACTGAAAATTTTGGAAAAAAAAATGTTTTCCCCATCATTATGTTAGGAAACAATTATTATTACCCAATTTTTGGGAAAAATATAAAAGACGGGGTCACGTCTGGTAAATACACCAAACATGTCAAGCTTGCGCACCCGCGAAAAAGCAAAAAACGACCATACCCAAAATTGACCATAGGTGATGCTTTAAAAGCTTTTACCGCTCATCAGTTTAGTGTTATCAGTAATTAATGGCCCTAGAATGATTGCTCTCACTGCGACATTCACGGCGATATGTAACGTGTGGTGTAATGGGCGCAATCGTCGTTTTCCCAGGTATGCGCACCCGAAGCATGTTTGCATGCGTGTATGTATGGGGGGGGACTTTTAAAAAAAACAAAAAAAAATGTTGTTTTAATGTTCATCAGCTGCTCTCCAGTGTCTGAAGCTGGAGAGTGACCGCAGAATGTGGAAGTGATATAATATACATCACTTCCATCCACATTCTGACAGCAGAGAGGGGGATGGAGGGAGATCGTGTACCGATCTCCCTCTGATCCCCTGACGCTGCCTGTTTTCTAAATATTGGTTCATTCCCATGCGAGTAGGTGTCTAAAGATGCCCGCTCAGATCTAGAGAGCTGACGTTTTTTTACAATGGCCGGCCGGGAGGTGGTTAAAGTTATTGTTCACCTGTCTGCGTTGTTCTCCCAAATCTCCTTGCGTACATAGTTTTTAAAGTGACACTAAACTCAGGAGTTCAATATTAAAAATGCATTCAGGTACCTTAACTATCAGCAAAAATGCATCTTATTATGTATCACTGTAGATCCTCAAATCATCTCTGAATTCATGCTGATGCTGTCCTTTCTTCTGGAGGGTGGCTACTTTTGTTCCCCATGGTCCCTGTGTGTGTGATGACCTATAATCTTATCTCACATATAATCAGCTAATTTGTACTGAAGTTATAGTCTATCCTGGGAGCAAGCTTGGAGCGGTTGCTACTTTACAACACACACAGGGACCATGTGGAACAAAAGTAGCCACTCTCCAGAAGGAAGGACAGTGTAGGCACAAATTCAGAGAGGATTTGAGTATCTACAGCCAAGTGATACTAAGTAAGGTACATTTTTGTTGAGATTCTTGAATTTATTTTCAAGATTTAAACTCCTGAGTTTAGTGTCACTTTAAGTGCAGGCATTTTTAGGCAGTGCCCTGGGTGATTTGCTTCCATTTCCTAATAAGTGAATTAACATGCAAACACTTTTTATATTGTTATGTACCTTTTGCTATGACTTTAAATTCGTTTTTCTTCAACTTGTTTGGAATACTTTGTTGACCTAGTTTTCATAGCTGTTATTCAGATTGACAACCTGAATGATGATTCCTACCATACCTAAATTTGATAAATATTTTAATCATCAACTGGAAAAGGCCAAGGTGTGTCCTCATCGAGTGACTGCAAGCTTAAAACCTTCTTCGCAAAAGGAATACTTGTACATTTTGTTAGACTTTGTTTTAACACAAAACGATTCTTTTAAACAGTAATATAATAGAGAACATTTTGTATTTGATGGATAAATTATCCAACAAAATAATAGAAATGGTCAAGTGTCTAAATATTTTAACCCGCATTTAGTAAGCTATATGTAGATGTGTATTGTTTCTATTATCTTATTATCATATTATTCAGTGCTTATCATATTTATGTTTTATTTATGTCTTTGTTTTTTCTAGGTGCCCTTCTTCCTTTTTATAACATTCTCTGTATACACCATGCTGCCTCTTGGGATGCGTGCCTGTCTGATTATCAGCATATTCTCTGGAATGTCCCACATTGTCGTCATTAGTGTCACAGTGATGCTGTCCTCAAACACTCGAGACACCATTGCTTTTGAGGTAATCTCATTGAACATGGCCTCTGAAACACAGGTGGCAAATTCCAAGGCTCTGTGTTTTTAGGGGCAAATACATGCATACGTTTTCATTTTATTTATGATCTCAAGTTTGGTTACATAGTGAATTGACTATTGCTATGCTAAGATAATATAAGAGACCAATACACCGATAAATATAAATTTATATTTATAAATATATATTATATATTCACTATAATTAGTTATCTACATGTACGTATTTATTAGACATGTGCACTGCCAAAAAATTTGTTTCGTTTCGTTTTAAATTCGGATTTGTGTTATTTCGTTTTTCGGGATTCGGGTGTGAAAGTCAATTCGGATTCGGAATTCGGATTCGGACGAAATTCGGTAGCGTTCGCACGAACGTTCGTTTGGTTTTCTGTTCTTATTCGTTATTCGTTTCTTATTCGTTTCGTTCGTTTGCAGCAAAAGTGACATTTGAGGGGGAAAAAATATTTTTCTCCTTCTCTAATGTCACTTTACTCCAACGAACGAAACGAATAAGAAACGAATAACGAATAAGAACAGAAAACCAAACGAACGTTCGTGCGAACGCTACCGAATTTCGGAAATGGAAATTCGGATTCGTTTGCATTCGTTATGTCTGTAATTCGGAATTCGGATACATCCGAATGTCAGAATTTACGAAAATTCGTCCGAATTTCGATTCGGAACGAAACGAATCGCACATGTCTAGTATTTATTTATCTTGAATTTGTATGGATTGGTTGCACTGATTTTAGAACAGGTCTAGTATGAATTTTGCTGCTGAGGGGCAAAAAGAAAAGATTCCCTTACTGCAAAACCATTTTCTGTTAAGACACTAAACCTGTAATATCTGTGAGCAATGCAAGTACAATGTAATAAATAAAATAATTGTGAAGTGTCAGAATGTAGTAAAATAGATAACAATCTGAAGCAAAAAGGTTTCAGTGCTCTGAGAAGAAACCTAAAGTATATCTAAAACCAAAGCATTTTTTTAAGATAGAGTATGGAATGGTTTAAACCACTTTAATATTTTTTCCTATTTATGTCTGATTGGGGAGATTTTACTTCCTGTCCTGACAGACACAAGAAAACGTAAGAGAAAATCCCCTCTTAGACATTTGGCAATGAAACAAATATTTCCCGTTTTAAATATACTCTATTCCTGTTTGGATTTTTCCTCCCTTTTAGTTCCCGGACTAACCACCTCCACCTTCCGTTTGAGGATGCCCCACAGATGCTCAATAGGGTTTAGGTCTGGAGACATGCTCGGCCAGTCCATCACTTATACCCTAAGCTTCTTTAGCAAGGCAGTGGTCATCTTGGAGATGTTTTTTCGGTCGTTATGTTGGAATACTGCCCTGCGGCCCAGTGTCCAAAGGGAGGGGATCGTGCTCTACTTCAGTATGTCACAGTACATGTTGGCATTCATGGTTCCCTCAATGAACTGTAGCTCCCCAGTGCTGGCAGCACTCATTCAGCCCCAGACCATGATACTCCCACCACCATGCTTGACTGTAGGCAAGACTCCTGTGTACTCCTCACCTGGTTGCCGCCACACACGCTTGACACCGTCTGAACCAAATAAGTTTATCTTGGTCTCATCAGACCACGGGACATGGTTCCAGGAATCCATGTCCTTAGTCTGCATGTCTTCAGTAACTGTTTGCGGGCTTTCTTGTGCATCATCTTTAGAAGAGGCTTCCTTCTGGGACAACAGCCATGCAGACCAATTTGATGCAGTGTGCTGCGTATGAGCACTGACATACATGGGGGTTCATTTACTAAAGGCAGATAGGCCATTCACTTTGCAAGGGAATTTGCACTTTGCAAGTGGCTGTTCCCTTAGCTTGCACAAACATGTGCAAGAAAAAAATACTGTTTTATTTTACTTGTGCATGATTTGGTATTCTTAGCACTGTGAAATTTCACCACATTCACTAAGCTAAGGGAAATTTCCTTGCAGAGTGAAAAGCCTATTTGGCGTTAGTAAATCAGCCCCACAGAATCAAGGTTTTTGAAAACCAAAGATCATAATGATCATGTTATTTATAGCAAGCAGATCACCTTCTGATATACGGTTAAAAGTGTACATAATAAAAAAGACAAAACGAAAGAATATAGATTGACTTCATGTGTTTAAATGTTATTGCTAAATAAAAATGGAAATAACAGGCAAAGGAATGTACCTGCACCTGAGAATTTCCATTTCTTGAAGTGTTATTAGACCAGCTCCTTTCATTGATAAACATATTGGTATATAGATCAAGACATGCTTCTGTACTGACAATGAAATTCCTTTATATCGACCTCATTGAATACGAAGAGCCTGTTGTGCATTATTTCACCATAGAGTTTAATTCAGTCTGGCAGCTGTGGCGTTAAGCTCATCAGCTTGGACAGTGAGTCAGGCACCAAAATGTGTCTGCTCATCATAGCTCCATGATCTCATATCCTCTGCAGACAAACTTCTGGTGGGGCAGTGAAGTCAGTGTTGTATATATTACAGCTACGCCTATTGCATTGTTACACCCACCTTAGGCAATAAAGATGGTTTGTAGAAGGTGGGAAGGAGACCTGTTTGTTTTCCTTTTTATGATTTCTTTTTCACTTTGCTATATTATAACATCTTTTGATACAATAAGTGATTAATAAATGAGCTTTTAAATATGATTTAAAGTTAGATATTGTAAAAGCTGATCTTCGTCTGTTGTAAATGAGATTTCCATTGTACAGCTAAAATTTGCTATGCCAAAGAACACTTAACCTAATAGAGTGAATAGTGATTTACACTAGTTAATATTTACATTTAGAGATGTAAATGTTTAGAGATGAGATTCCCATTATACGTTAAAATTGAAGGTGCCTTGCTATATGTATACATTTAGGGTAACTAATATGTTTTTATTCTAGAGAACATTTGACTTAATAGACTGAATAGTGATTTACACTAGTCAACATTTGCATTTAAATCTTTAAGACTGGCTTTGAACCCATGTGTTTTGGTATCTCTGGTAAAATGCATGTTTTGTGTGGGTTACTGCAGTGCACAATACTATGTGCTTGGCAGCGCAATTCATTTAGAATGGCACCATAACACACATGTACGGTTGCTGACAACACATCCACAGTATATCACACCGCAATGCGTGCTATGTGAATTGTGGTGTGCTATACTGTTTGTGATGGACGGGCCCAGCCCAAACCCACTGTATGTCAATAACAGGTGACTATACGCAGTGCCGAACCAACTGAGCCATCACAAGGAAATGGCGATGCCACTCCCAGCCTCACCCTGCACAGGGATTTCCCAGCTCGCAGGACAACAATCTCAGGCGAGCAGACAGAGTGATCGTCACTAGGGTTGGTTAACCTGCAGATAATGCTTTACACACAACAGTAGCTGCCACCATGTGTTTTAACGAAAACATGGACTGTTCCCAGCAAATGCTGTTACAATTCAAAAACCTTAAAGCATTTAATACCACTGTCCTTTCAGACAGGAACATGACAGGTTTCACTATACAGTAGCACTCTTCATGGAGACCAGGATATTTTAAGTTCTTATTTAGTGCGTAAAGCTAAACGTAACCATTTTTAAGATCATCCTTTAACCACTTCCCGGCCGGCCGTTGTAAAAAAACGTCCGGCGGGAACTTCCTGGATCTGAGCGGGCGTCTTCAGACGTCCTAAGAAACGGTGCTGGAAAAATATACAAAAAAAGATGGCAACAAAAGAGACAGAGATAACAACAGTAAAAATAAAAAGGAATAAAAAGAGAGTACTTCATAGTCCTGGGTTTACAAGTTCTGAGTCCACTTTAATGCATAGAATATGGATCTGAATGGTTCTTGCTTGAGGTTAAAGGGGAACTCTTCTTGGATGTTACACAAGCTTCTATGATGTTACCAGAGCCTCCTCTTGATGTTACAATGAGAGCCCTCTTAGCTGCCTTTGCAGCATGTTTTTGTCAGTCCTCTAGGGGGTGTCACAAAGCCGGCCCATAAGGCAGTGCTGGGGAGGGTGAGCTTAAGGTCTAAGCCTTGACAATGTCCTTCTCTTCTCCTCCCAACCTGTCAATTTCATAAGGATGATATAGTTTAATATACTTACCTATTACTGTCTGATAACCCCTAAATTATTGTGCATTGTGAAATTAGCTTTAGATAGAAACCAAACTTGTCAGGTGTGTAAATTATGGCTTGCCCAGGAGGGCTAATGCGGCCTGTCAGGCCTATGACCATCGTAATCCACCTATGAGTGATATGTGTGGATCTCGCTTGACGAGACACAATTATTTATGCAGCTTATTTTAGAATGTCACTCTCCGATTCATTTATGATTTTTGAATTTGGTGGTGACTTCAGTTTATGGCTCAGGATGAATGTGAGTTCACATGGGATCCTTGCCAGACCCTCTTGTGTTTACCTAGTTCTGTCAGATGCTAATTTATTAGTGATCTGCAATCATGCTTGGTTGGCTTTTATTAGGGGTAGCCATAAAAAGATTGAGAGTAAGCCTGAGACCTCACTTAGGTAATTAGTGCTTAGGACTATAAAGATCAGAGTCCCATTACGGTCACATTGTGGATGTGTTGTTAGCTGCATTGCCAAAAAAACACAGGTCTTGTTTCTTGTGTGTTAAAGTGGAATTAAATTGTGGTGAGGATGGCCAGCATGCAAGAATGCATATCATATTAGTACAATATTAAAAAATTACCTCTTGGTATGCGATGTGAGGTCCAAGCTCCCAACATATCTCTGTCTCTGCCAGGACTATGTTATTTACCTTTGCTTCCAGGTCCGACATCTTCTTGATTTGCCCATTGAGCAGGCACTGATGATGTGCGCTAGAGTGACATTATCTCAGCACCCAGCTCCAATGGGCAGCAACTGTACTCTGTACTGCTGCTGTCAGTGTACAGATTCAAAAAAAGCAGATAAGTAAATGTTTTTTGGCAAAAGTGATTTTATAAATTCTCTTTTACCAAAAGAC